AATACAGAAAGCTCTAACAGGTTTGCTTTTAAGAATAAAAAATTTTAAAAAATAAAAGAGTAGTCTAACAATGAAAAAGATGAGGATACGAATTTGATCGAGGTACTAATTTGATCGAAGATAAGAATTTGATCGAGATTCGAATTTTGATCGGAATACAAATTTGACTGGGTTGGGTGACACACATTCCAAATCAATTGATTAATACAGTAATCCATTTTATTAGTGGTACGTACCACCTATACTGCGAGATCCAAATTGCATATTATAATGCGCCTAGTATAGTACAATGCCGCTTCTATTATGCATTGTGTCTATAATAATAATAATTCACCGTGGTCTTGAAATTGTAATCGGGGATTATAACTGGATTATAACAGATGTGTATAATTAAATATATTATTGGAGTTTTGCTCCGTAAAATACGGTATTTTTCTTTTATGATAGCAATAAATTCTTGAGACAAAATCTCAAACTGTGTTACGCTACTAATTCTTTATTCGGCAAATCCAAATTAATTTACTGGTGTGGATGAAACTATCGGAGTTTGGTTACTCCGTTATTCATAACTAAGCCTAAACTTTAAGAATATATTCAAGAAAAAAATTAATAGGGGATTTCAAAAATAAAATCAGAGGACCTTATTTACTTTCCCGATTTATAATTCAGCATAGTAAAAGTGCTATTGAAAATACCCTACTTATTTCCACTTATCTAATTTTGAAACCCCTAATATTTCTTTTTACTATTTTAGTACTTAATTGAAAATGGTATATACTGTACCACGCTAAGAAACGGTTAAATAAACTGATTAAATATTTTATTATAATTAGAATACTAATTAGAATAAATAAATGCTTTATTATTGTTTGCCAATGAAAATGAGTTGTCAAACATGAAATGTATACCGTTAAAATACTGTACGTATATACTAAATTATTTTTGCTTTCCCTGTACAGTATACTCAAATAATAATTTTATTATAATAATAAAGTGTTCGATATAAATTGCAAAAGTAAGTTAAATCAGTTTTCAAATCATGGTAATATAAATAGAAATGAATAAATGTCAATTAGACTAAACTTTTGTACGTATAGCTAATTATTTATCCGAAAAAAAGTTCAACCATAAAATTAATAAAATAAATTATTATTTATTCTAATTATATTTCATGTCAATGACCTGTGTGGTATTAATAGGGACATTTTGAACAGGGACATTATTATTAATAGGGACATTTTGAACAGGGATATTATTATTAATAATTGTCATCTCATTAGAATAGTTTGCATTATTAGAATAGTTGATACTATTAGAATAGTTGTTATTAGCCCTAAGATTAACGCCAACAGTGTTTTTGGTAAGATCGGAGAGGGCATCATTGATTTCAAGAATTATTAGTGCATTGTCAGCAAATAAGTTTGCGAAGAAAACACTAAGTGAAAAACCATGGTACTTTATTTTTTCTTTGTTTATATGACCATTTCCATAAGCTCTTCCATCCAAATCAGTAACGTATCTTTCGTAGGAACTAACCCACCAGAATTTCCAATTAGCGGTTGGATTTTCATGTTTGTTATATTGTGCAAAAAGTTCGTTTAGGAGATTAGTAAATGCTATTGCGCGTTCTGCAGCATTTTTTTCGATCATATATTTAGCGAAAAAGAATAAAATTCCAGATATACTAAAGCCTATAGGTAACCCCGTTGCCGATCTCATAATTACGCTGAAGATAATCGATAATAAAGTAGCACCAATTGAGGCGACATAATATAATAAGTCTTTTGTTTTTTTGGTCATTAGTTCAACGCCTTGAACATGATTATTAATTTGGTTAAGTCTAGCGGCGAACTCTTCGCGGGATAAAAATCCGTGAAGGTCAATGCACCAGTCAGCTCTGAACGAATGGCCAGGCTGACAATCACAACAAGTGTCAGCTCCGTGTAAAAAGAGAGGAATTAATACTTTTTTCATATTATATAATAGATTTAGTTGGAGATAAAAAAGCTTAAAAAAAAAAAAGAAATTTTATGTAATTTAGAATACAAAACTAAGCAATTTAAAGGTTTTTAATTGCTAGTGAAATTTTGGAGGTGAATATTATTGGTCATAAGATAAAATATGACCCTAAATAATTGTTTATGTTTTACAGTTTATTTAGTATGAAAATAAACTCCGTAATACTTTACTTGAACAACATTAAAAAAAAAAAAAAAAAAATTCAAAATAAAATATGAAGGATAATTTATGTTTCAAATCGTACAAAGATTATGAAATGAAACGTAAGGTTTCTGTGTTTTTATTCAGCATTAAAAAACTGCAATTGATATAGACAATGATTCAGCCATAGCAATGGTCCTCATAAAAAAAATAGTGACTTTTATTTTGAAGTATATGTCATGTCCGAAATTAATACCCGACTGAAGTTACACTTGCCTAAATTCACGCACCAATGCATGCAAGATGATCTACCTTCAGGTAATTTCAGCCAAATGTAACTTCAAGCACATAAAGTTACAACTTCAGTCGGGTGTCAACTTCAGACACTATGTATATATTACTTATACAGTCAGACTTCTTTAAGTGCACGTCCTTTAACGTCGTGCATTTAAATAATAAGAATAAGTGTATT